TATTAATGGTAGCTGACAGAATGATTGCAGTCCTTGTCTTGCATGCTAAATGAAGGACCTCGTTTCCAAAAATGTCAATGTACTTTGGAAGTGGATTGTATTGGGTTACTTAATCAGAAAGATATTTTGTGTTGTGTGTGTGTGTGTGTGTGTGTGTGTGTGTGTAGATGCCTGGAAAGACATTTTATAGATATTACAGGAAGAACCCATTTAATTAGCAATTCATGCATTCTAAATCAATTATTTTTAAACAATTGTATTATTTATGTCCATATGTACCTTTAAAAAGTAAAACTGTAGCAACTGCAACCTGAGAGACTCACCTGTGACATTTCAGGCATTATGTGATGACATTTTGCAACCTGTATGCTTTACAGTTCATAACAAAATATATAATTATAATGATTTATACATCATTCACATAAATCACTTGTTCAACATGGTTTTCTTTCCTGTGTTAATGTATTTCCTGTTTAAACAGGAAGTTAGGGTGTGGCATTTTCAAAGGGCTACAAAGGTTACATCACAGTCATTAACCATGATTTGCTTCTTGCTATAGGTTGGTGGCATTAGGGGGTGGGACATTCTCATTTAAAAAAAACATTTAATTGGATCAAATCTGTGTAGTACAAGATGAGTCATCAACATTATTCATTCTGTTTTTCCTGAAGAAAAAATAAAAAAATGTAACATTTAAAAAGTGAAATTTGTAAATAATTAAAAGTAGGATCTTGATATGATGCAAGACAATCTTGAGCCTGCTTCTGCTTGAGCTTATGATGCTTAATTGTTGCAAGCACCCACTACACCATGGTACCAACATGAATCAACATATTATTGTGTCTAAACCATCCAAAGGGTTCAGGGCCAACATGAAATCCTCTTTCAGATCATTTGATATTGTCCCTGAATAAAGCAAGGACCACCATCTCAGAGTCAGCAGGCTTGGCAGGTCGAGCCAGACAGATAACACTGTCAGACATTGTCCCTCTAGTCTGGAGAGCCTTTTTTCCTGGTCAGTGGGTTCACACAGACAGGCAGGCAGACGGTTCCAAAGAAGAGCAAGTTGGCAGAGGTACAACGAATCTAAGTGCTGCCCAATGCAGAGCAAGGAGAGAGAGAAGGTCAGCCCACTGCATCAGACTCTCAGACACGCAGTGAGGCATCAGCACAAAACCCACTGTATTACTTTACATCTAGCCGTCTCACGACACTGGAGGGGTTAATTCATTCATTCTGTAAACACGATCTTGTGGTTTGAACTCAACTTACTATTACTCTCCATTCACAGCTGTTGTGGAGAAGAACCATATTCAAAGTATTTATCCTTAAAGGAACACTCCACTATTTTTGAAAATAGGCTCATTTTCCAACTCCCCTAGAGTTAGCGCTTTTAGCTGTAGCTTAGCATAGATCATTGAATCTGATTAGACCGTTAGCATCTCGCTCAAAAATGACCAAAGAGTTTCTATATTTTTCCTATTTAAAACTTGACTCTTCTGTAGTTACATCGTGTACTAAGACCGACGGAAAATGAAAAGTTGGTATATTCTAGGCCGATATGGCTAGGAACTATACTCTCATTCCGGCGTAATAATCAAGGAACTTTGCTGCCGTACTATGGGTGCAGCAGGCGCAATGATATTACGCAGCGCCTGAAAATAGTCCCCAGCACGCTCCCTGTGCAAGCAGGTGGTCACGTTGGTTATGTTGACGGAAGTTAGCCTATTTTCAGGTGCTGCGTAATATCATTGTGCCTGCTGCACCCAAAACTCAACTGTTTAACTCTAGGGGAGTTGGAAAATTAGCCTATTTTCAAAAATAGTGGAGTGCTCCTTTAAGTACTTACACGCATCAGGAGTGAAGTAGGCCTACATTACTAAAAAAAATGAGATCTCTCCAACTAAAAAATGTTCAGTGACTGAGTCCATCTGAAATTTCTAGTTGGCTTAAACTCTCATTTAATTTTTGGTTGATGTTGTGCTGGCCAGTAGAGCGTTCGTCTTGGACTTACTTAAGCCTACTTGATACTGGCACCTGGTGGCGTGAATGTAGCCGTCATTGAAGAAATTAATGCAAAGTCAGCCACAATCTGTTTATTTTGTGACAGAAATTGGCTAATAACATTAGAAGTTCCATGTAAAATTAAATAGCATTTACTGGGTTACAGATAAGACTAGAGTATTGTTATGTTAATGTGCATGCTTCTAAATATATTATTTAAAAGTTCTATATATTTATTTACATGTAAAACTTTTTAATGTGGAACTGATTACTGAGAGCTATGGATTATTGCATTTAGATGACAGCACTACTATGTGGACTCAAATAGAAACAGGGGAAACAACTCTTAAGTAGGACTAACGTAAAGATGTCCTACTTAAGTATGTCAAAAAATGCTCTTAAACTCAACTAATTGCATTAAATACAATTATGTTTAATTACATGTAATTACATTACAAATTAGTAAATTTAAAATATATTAACTTTTAATGTCATATCAAATAGCACACTGCAGTGACAATTATAATCTAGTATGTCCTTTAGTATGTTAGTCAACCCATCAAAGTAAGTGTACTTCTTTAAAGAATGACAAAAGCTTATTAAAACATAATAATTTAAAATGTACTTTTTAATAAAGTACTTAAGTGTGTTGCAAACATAGTCATGAAAGTGTACTCTCTTTAAGCACACTTAAGTGGCCTTTTATTTCATTAATATTACTTGCGAGTATGTTTTTTTTATGTACCTTAAAGATTTGAAGTACACTACAAGTGCACATTCAATACAAGTAAGTGAACCTGTTTTTCACAAGGGATTTGAAACCACGACCTTGACGTTTGCTAACACTACGCTGTTCCAGTTAAGCTACAGGAACACCATGGTACTAAACGTCACTAAAGTCAGCTTAACTGAGAAGTCCTTTAAGAAACTCTCATTTGGCTTTTCAGAAGAGTTCTGCAGTGTTCTTTTCATTATGTACATACTAATTAGATTCATTGTCCACTGTTGCTCAGCAAATATAATTTTTTTTACTGCAAATAAGAGGTTGACTCAGCATTATAACTTTATATATAACCTTATTAGTAAAGTGGCATTACATAATGATTAATTAAACCCATTTTCTTACTTTAATACATTATATTTTGTTATCTGACCAATATTTTTTACAGTGAAAAGTGCTTAATGGTTAAATTAATTTCTTCATTCTGCAAGGGTCAGATTAACTCTCCATGTGCCATTGCATATTGTAGCAATAGTTTACAATGGTTTTTCAACAACGCCGCTAACCATTGAACAAATCCTCATCCTGCTGGCCGACCCATTGCCGGCACCATCAGTGGACATTGTTCTTTGATGAAAACATGAGAAAAACATCACAGCAATATCTATGCCAGTCTAACTCCTTTGCCCAGTGAACACTGACCACACACAGCAGGAGGTTGTTGAGCGGTTTCAAGAAGCTTCCAGAAGCAATAATAGTGGCCATGTCCCTCCACATTGACTACTGTGTCCCCTCTAACCACTTTTCTGTGAGCATGTGAGCGACCGTACTATGTAAGCACTCCTATTGGCTCATTGTGTGAACTACGAGATGGTATTAGTGGAGGGAAATCTTCTCCCAAGTCTCAGTGAATGCACTGTCTGTTCATCGAAGCAATGAGAGAGCTCATTCCTCTGAGGTCAGCCAGACCGTACTTTGACAAAACTTACCCAAGAAGCCAGGCTAAGCATCAATCATATAGACAGGAATTATATCAAATAAATACTCGACAACCCCTTTTCCATGGATTATGTTATGGCAGTGTTTTACACATGTATGCGCTGATGAGTGTGGATAATGTGGTTCAGTTTCTAAATCAAATCAGATCATTTTATTGTCACGTCACCATATAGAGCGATGATGGATGAAACTCTTGGGTGCATGTTCCAAAAACAATGCAGTGATGTATAGTGACAGATATCTGATCACAATATACACAATATGCAATGTAATATATGCACAGTAAAAAAAATTTAATCGCAGTATGCAGAATATAGACCGATAATCGGTTTGAAGTGATATTTTTGTTTTACCATATAACCTAAACTTGGCTACTTTATGGCATAATTTGTGCGTTCAACGGAAAACAACATTGTTTATGTTAAAGCTCCTTATTTAATACCCAAAACAGACATGAAAATAAATTTGCAACTATTTGCAATGTAACTTTACATAAATCAGATGTCAGAAAGAGCTTTATTGCCAAGTATGTTTACACACAGACAGGAGCTTCCAGTGCAGAAGAAAAAGTAATGTAAAGTAATGTAATAATAATTATATATATATATATAGAGAGAGAGAGAGAGAGAGAGAGAGAGAGAGAGAGATATTCTAGACATGGCTGCCACTACTCAGTAACACAAACCACTATCATTACAATTTTATAAATATATTAAAAGAACTTTCAGTTTTAAAATCTTTTAGCTGATGCTTAGCTTTATCTCAACTAACTGCGCCCCGAAAACATCCCATAGAAATTAATTTTAAAAAGTTCACCTCATATAAATGTATTTAAAAGGCACACGCTGGCAAGTGTGTCGGCTGGGAATACAGAGATGAAAAAGACACCGTCCAAATTACGCATGGGAGTGCCTCTAAATTCAACTTCTGTCCCTTTCTAAAAACTCGCCACTTTCTCTAACACCCTTATTCGTTTTCATTCTGCAATGCAATCATTTCTGTTCTGTTAGTAAGTCCCAAAAAGATCCAAATTCGAGCCTATTCTAAGAAACAGATGACGTTATTTGACAGGGTGCCCAAAATCCTTAATGAGTAACTTAGCCAGAGGAGAAGGCAAATGCTGCCCCAGCTGTTTCCTGTTGAAAATGTCTCTGTAATGTAGATAAATGTGAGGGATTTTCTCTCCAAATCCGTCTCCTGTTCGCTAAATCTCACTTCTCCACAACGAGCCTGCGCAATGGAACAAAGTCGGAATATTGAGATGTGACATTGCCTGCATCTCATCCTCCTTGCTTTTTAATGACTTCAAACAAGTTCTTTTTTGCTGGGCTTTTGCTGGAGACCCAAGGGGATGTCTAGCGGTTATTTCTTCCAGGGGCATTGGTGTGATGTCTTTAAGGTAACTTAACCTATTTCCTTCCAAAACAAATAGGCTCCTTAGACTTACCATTATTGATTTCTCACTGAAGCAATAGCCTATAATATAAATTATATAGGGACTGAATATTTTAAGACAATTTGCACTCAATTTTAAATAGGATAAATTATCAATCTGCATCTTTAGGCAATTTGCATGACATTACACTGTACATGCAAAAGTATTTCACATTAAAGATCTGACAGCTGTAATATGGCAAACTTTTGAGACTTAAGACAGATTGCATGATGTGCATGGTGAGTCATATCATGATGCACCAGGGAGTTCATTTGCGCAGTGCACAAGTCACCAACTTGTATATCACGACCCTTAAAAGTAAATATTACTCAAATATTGAGTCGACACGAAAAAGGCTTGGGCAGAAGGTTTTGCAGCATACTTGTCCGTTGTGTGGTTGCGCATTATATTATCTTTATTATGTAAAGTGCTTCCTCTTTTGGGTTTGGCGGCTTTGCAGCTTTCCAGTTCCACCTCACGTATCTGTAGGTGAACCACAATGTTTTATCCAAGCAACCCAAAATGCATGGTTTACAAAAGCGCTCTTCTTTGACCGGACACTGGGTTCAAGCAGCATTATCCTATTGGCACGGGCAAGAGCTAGGCGCCTCAAAGCGCGCGCTGGAGACATTTCCGCGCGCATTTGTGGAGAAGTGCCTCGCAATAACCCGCTCTGGTTTAGCGGGATTGTGTGCGGTGAGAGGAAGGACACTGACTTCTAAAGCCACCACAGAAACGGAGTTCTACATCTGAATGGGAGTAAATATCAAGTAAATGCACGCGCGCAAAAGTATCCTCGATGTATAAACAGGTGCATTGAACTTTTGATTGCATTTTATAGTTTTTTATTTTTATTTATTTATTTATTGTCATTCTTCTTGTGTGCAAGTAGAAGATGCTTTTAGATGTATCCTCAATATCCAGGCACCTGTCTCTGTAGGCTGTTTGATATTCAAAAGATGTTAGAAACATGAATAAGTAACATCTGTGCAGACAGACAGATGATAGATAGATAGACAGATAGACAGATAGAGATGCACATTATCCTTAGTTATGTTTCATTGCATAGATGTAATGTATTTCTGGTTTCCCTCTCTTTGGGATGCAGTGTACCATGCGCTGTCTCTCGTGCACCCACACCCTCTCACTGGTGCTGTGCGTCCTCGCGTTGACTCCCGCGACACTGGAGGCGGGGCCGGAGACGCTGTGCGGGGCGGAGCTTGTAGACACGCTGCAGTTTGTGTGTGGAGACAGGGGCTTTTATTTCAGTAAGTGCACATTTTATTTATTCATCAACTGCTGCTCTTTCTCGTCCTCTCTCTCTCTCTCTCTCTTCCTCTTTCCCCATGCACCAATGCGCCACTCATAAATAAGAAAAGCATCCGTTTTCAATTATTGCTGTCCAATTTTCCAAAATGTTCCCCCCTTTCTGGTTTTGCTTAATTTGTCTCAGTTATTTCGGATAGAAAGTTTACAATCCATGTAATCTAATCCTGCCAAACACTACTTACTTGTCAATGCATGTTTCAGGTCATATTATGCATGATTGATTGGTGCATGTTATTCCAAATATAACTGTTTATAAGCTTTGTCAAAATATATGAACTTGCTCTGCCTCTAAAAGAACTTCACTTATTGCTTAACATAACAAATCTCTCACTTTCCAAACCTTCCCTTCAATCACACTGGTCCATTCTGGGACCATATGTAATTCCCACTTGTCATGATCCAATCAATTTTCAAAGGAATTAAAAAATCTTATTAGATATCCTATTGTGTAAAACAGGTTGTGAATGCCGCTTCACGTTAGATTACTGTAAGGTGAGCTCTTGCAATGCCAAAGACGCAACTGAATAAATTCTGTTTCTGATGCTCATGTATTACATTTAAAGAAGATCAGCCAGTTGCTTTGCCCCCAAAAATGAGGTTGCTGGAATTTGGCAGACACGAGTAGGCAGGGCAAATAAATGTAGTGTACATCCAACTGAATACGGGGGACTACCCAAAGAAAACCATTTTGAATCCTAGACTTAAATCTCTCTTTTTCCACAAGCCATGAGAACTGCTGAGTCTTGGGATGTCCCAATCAGCAGTAGGGAGAGATTCAGGAGTTCTAGACCTTGATGGGACTTGCTTTTTACACTTTGTTCATACACTTTATGGACTAATTTTTCCTTTTTTGAGCATGAAATTAATTGAAATTTATTCTGTAATGTTTATTTGTCAATTTGTTTGACTGGGTGATCTATTTTGCGTACTACTAATGATAATATAAATCGTTTTTAATGACCTTTTTCATATTCCAATCAATCAATCAATCAATCAATAGATTTATGCAATTTAGGATTAAAGGGATTGTTCACCCAAAAATTAAAATTCTGTCATTATTTAATGACCCTCAGGTCACTCAAAACCCATATTTTTATTTTTTCTGTTGCAAAAAATAAGATATTTAGCAGAATGTTCAGACTGCTTATCTGATAAATTATAAAAAGCCAGGCAGCTTGAACTCAAACAGCATAACTATTTAGTAATGTCAGTAGTAACTGGATCAAAAAAGTTTCTAATCTTAGACTATTCGTATTTTCCTGAAAAATCAATTGTCCTGTCTATGACATTCGATTTCAGTGTACCAAATGAGACCAGTTACATCACAATGTGCAGCTATGATGTTTTAAACTTGTGCACATATATTGTTATCTGTTTGAATTACCCGATGAGATATTTACAACGTGCAAATGGCTCAAGGAAGTATGAGAGTCTCGGGCCACTGATGATGACATATGAAGTGATTATTTTGACAAGTGGACAGAACCCACTGATTCTGTGGAGACACATTTTATTCACTTACTTTAAAAGCGAAGCGAGATTGAACTTGAAGTTAGAGTTGACATTTTAAGTTTCCAGTCAACAACATTTGAGCTTTTAGTGGTCACAAAGGAGCTGGCTGGATCGCTCATGGCTGTCAATGGCCATGTGTTTGTTTTGTCAATACAGAGCTCAAAATAAATACGTTTATGCTAATCTGAACTTTCCATGAAATTATTGCATCAGTGTGACAGATTCAGTGAAGAACAAATAGACGATTTTATACAGATCATTTGACTTTGACCTAGTAAGCAGTATAAATCTTAAAGGAATTTCTTACAATATGTACCCCAACAACCCTGTTTGCTGTTGTTATTCTAAACCTGGGTTTTTGCTTGTTTTGTTGTATAAAAACCTGTGTAGACTGGCCTCAAACACATGAATCCATACACAAATAAACTGAATTCATATATGCAGCAATTAGCATTGTGTTCGTTGCAGTGCAGCCCATCTCGCCAGTGCCCTTACTGCCAGTGGAACTCCACTCACATTTCAAAACTTCAGATTTCATTATCTTGATAGAAAGGCCTACTACTCGGAAAATACTACTCGGTGGAAATTTGTTTTCATTGAAACAAAATGTTGCTTTTTGAAGACATAGAGAAGAGGAAGACACAGAAGAAATGGTGCAGTCTTTTTTTTTTTTTTCAATTGTTAGCCTTAAAAATCCTCAGTTGTCTTTGAAATTTCTCAGTGTCAGTCTCATCCCACATTTTCTTCCGTTCTAAAGGGTTATTGGAGAGGAGAGGGGCTCCGAAACAAGTAATGCAGAGCTAGAGCACATCATTCTGTTTATTACAAAGGGCACCTCGTGTCCAGGGGTGTTTGTGTTGACACAAAGCTGCCCTTTTCCTCCATGGTTGTGTAGTCTTTTCCAGCAAAGCATCTCTGATGTCCGCCAAAAGGCTGAGCATGCACCTCATGATGCATTCCCATTCCCCAGACACAAACACAATGGGAATGCGGAAAGTATGCACTGTAAAATCTTATTTTGTCCAGAAGTGGGTGCAAGTCTCCTCTCACACATTTGGAAGGATGATCTGGCACCTCAGGATGACAGGTGAACCTCTGCTGAAGGTTGCCTCGTTCAGAATTATGTGAATCTTGAAAGGAATTATGTTGCATTCTAGTCATTTCTGGACATTCTTGTTTACAAATTTTATGCTTTCAAGTGATTTTGGTGGAATAAAATGTACTTTGTGGACTATTTTATATAACGTTTTAACTTCCTGACAAAACAGGAAGCTTTTTAGTGCAAATGCAAGACAATTAAGAGCAAATAATGCACATTAGGTGTTTAATTGATGCTTTCAGCTGTGTATTTTATCATTTTTGTGCTGCCATGGAGAATTATAGGAAGTATAGTTTGGATGCACAAGCTTGTGGCCTAATACATCAGCTAACTGAGTACCATTTCTGGCCAGCTTTATTGCTATTCTTCTTCAACAGTGCACAGAATGCCTGTTAAGTAAATTGTACTGCCAACATTTACAATTACAACATATTATGATCAATACCAAAGGATATTTGTCCATAATTCTTTAAATGACACCAACTCAATTTAGAAAGTCTGGCCAATCACAACTCTATCATGGTGTTCATGTGCCCTCAACTTGCAAATATGATAATTCCAACATTATTAAGCATTAATAATCAATCAATGATAAAAGGATTGCAGGTCACCTCCTCTCAGTAGCAAAGGCCGCAAAACAGAATCGAAGTTCTGTCACAAACATCACTGATAGGATTTTCGTTTGTCTGGTTTCATTATGTTTAAAGCAGCTGTAGAGAAGAACACATCAACAGCACACAGCCAGGCTTGGCTCTTGTCCTAGAGCAGCACCGGACTATGGGGGATTACAGGATGATCAGGATACCCCCGCCCCCTCCCGCCCCGTTGGTCTACTGGACATGAACATGTTGCAGAGGGAACTGGGTGTTTTGGGTTCAGCACTTTTCTGGTGAAAAGGTGGTGGGGTTTTTTTTTTTACCACAAGGTCTAATATTTAAGCTGTGTCTGATTTACAAGACGCACAAACAAAAAGACTTCTCTCCGAACCCAAGACATTCACATGTCTTAATTTGGTCAATCCAACTGAGTTTTACCTGTAGATCATTTGCTCTAAAAGGAAACTTCTTTCATCATATTCCCACCCTCATGTTGCTTGACCCTCATATGACTTTTGGAAAAAAAATCCTATTTCTTTATTATAGCGTCAAGTTATAAATCTTAACCCATGTAAAACGTTTAAATAGATACAATAAATATATATAAAAATTAAATCTATATCTATTAATACGTCTATACCTATAGTTATATAGATACTTTTAAATAGATAATATAAAACTATTTTAAAAATCTGATCCATCTGTCTATCTGTCTATCTATCTATAGATCAGATACTAAAATATTTTAAAAAAATCAGTGAATCTATTCACATAAAATCAGTCTATTAATTTATAACAGCAAAACGCCCTGGTTAAAACATTTCGACAAACCATTACTTGGCTGTTTACAACCTTTAAACACCACAAACAGTTTCTATTCAGTCATTAATGTCTGCGAGAGCCAGCATCTCTTTGCATAGTAAACAGTGGCAAAAAGAGCCAGGAGACAAAAAATGGTTACACTTTACTTGAAGGGGTGTGCATAAGACTGACATGACACCTTCATAATCATGACATGACACCTACATAATCATGACATTACACATGTCATGAATATGAAGGTTTTTTTATGCATGTTTATGACAACTGTCATTAAGTGTCATTCACTCAGTTATGTAATTTTTAATGCAAAGATGACATTGTTTGAGATGTCTTTGTTATGGGCTATGGTTAGGGGTAAGGGTAGGAGTAGGGTTAGGTTAGGGTTAGGTCAAATAATGTCATATTTGCATTAAAAATTACATAACTGAGCGAATGCCACTTAATGACAGTTGTCATAAACATGCATAAAACCTCCTTCATATTCATGACATGTGTCATATCATGATTATGAAGGTGCCATGTCAGTCTTATGCACACCCCTTCAAGTAAAGTGTTACCCAAACAATAAATAAAAATAGGAAGGAAACTTCATCTTACTATAAACTCTTTGTGGTACCATTGATAAAGAGGTAGTTTCCAGTACTATAACAGCTTTCATAGTCCCCAGTGAACAGTAAACTTCCTGACACTATAGGCAGCGTATGGCAGCTGCTCCAAGAACTCCCTGTACTTTAATAACCTGAGCATGGCTATAAAAGTCAGCTTCTTTCCAGAGGTGTTCCTCATTGGAATGTACATGTTCTGATGTGTGATGATGTTTAGTTGGAAGCAAAGGTGTCTACCCAAAGGTGCTAGGACACATTTGTGTGTTAACGTTTGCATTTTTGCAACACTGAAGCATGAGGCACATTGTCCTTAATCACAGAGATGGAGATGTGCTTTGCTCAGGTTTCACAGCTCTCTCACAATGTTGTGAATGGGTTGATTGTTTTACTAGAGGAGGAGATGAAAGACTGTCAGCTGAGCTGATAGATAATCCATCCCACAATGCAACAATCTTCAATAGATGCTTGACCTAATCTGTGGACAATTTATATGGATAATGAAAAAACTAAAGACTGTTACTAATCTGCCTTTCTTACTGATAAAAGAACAAAACATGAAAACAGGCATGCAGACAGTGTTGGTTCATAGCTGATCTAACAATAATACCTTATTTTAGGATTACAACTTTGACCTCTTAAAATGCAACACGTCAGATCTCTGAAAAGTCTGCTTTTGTTGTGTACTGCATCTCTTAGGCCACCACAAAATGGATTTCATGAAGGATCATAAGTGCTATTTTGAAGAAAACAGCAGATCTTAATTTTGGGAAGGTTTTTTTCTGGATTAGAAAATCATCCAGGAAACATTTTGACCAGCTTGTAACAACCAAACTGACCGGTTTACTGCAAGATAATTCTTTTTTTTTCTTTCATGTCACTTGGACTGCTAACCCTAACCTGCAAATACAATAGACCCCAGATTCAGAGAGGAAAATTTGATATTTTTAGTTCATGTCAACATATATGCTAGTATGCTAGCATATACTATAGATGACTTTAGATGTGGAATAAAAGCCACAAAACTCTAAATGAATTCTAATTAAGCTCAAATCTATGAGCATCTAAGCACACTATTTAAATGAGGCAACTAGAAGGCCATCCAAAGTTTTCCAAAATGAGTGTGTGAACACAATTCTACCATTACAGTGTCCTACATAAAACCCTCAATTGTATTTAAAGATAACAGCGCCCCCTAATCTCCCAGAAGTGTTCAGCTCCCAAGAGTCATGCAGTCTGCAGGGATGCATGTTTGTCAGAATTAGAGCACCTCTCTTTCCAAAACAATGCTGACAGTGTGCAGCAAGTGCAAGGCAGAAGTTAATGCATTTTGTCAGCACTGGCAGCCCTGCGAGCCAAGAGCTATTAACTCTGAAAGGGAAAGGTATTTCCTCCTTGTAAATGCCATATTAAATTATTATTGTTATTTAATTTGGTAACAGGGAAAAGCCTATCAGAGCTATATTGCCCTAGGTGAGTGGCGACTTTTTTTAAGGCCACCGGGAGATTGGCGACATGGAGAAAGAAACATTAACTTAGTCAGGTGTCTAAGTGCTACCTTTAACATAAATCCGTTTGGGATCAGACACCCCAAATTCTACACATGTACAGTAAGTAGTCCAACCTCATCGTTAAATGTAATGTCTAGGACATAATAGTGCATTGACAGCACACAAAATTTATACCCATAAGGCAGTTTCATGTTCTTTCACATGGGTAATTATCACCTAGTTCAGCAGCGGCATTAACAAGCACTTCGGGAAAAGCTCATGGTTCATCCTGGTCTTCTAGCAACATCATTCTTCTCAACAGTGGTGCTGAGCAGGGGGTTTTCTCCATAGGTTAATTTGACCCCCACAAGGGCCGGATTTGGCCTCCCAAACCAGCAGGCTAGTTTAAAGATATCAGGCTTGAAACTGCAAAACGTGATATTCTCAACATTTGGGACAGCGTGACCTCTATTTAACTGGGGGGCTTGCCAAGAAGGGTTCGCTCTGTGCAAAGCAATACCCTGTAAATTTCACACTGAAGAAATTCATGTCATTAACGCGTCCATATATCTGAAGAATCACAGCTACGATCTGGCTGCTACGCTAAGCTATTATAGCGCTCATGACCGGGCTTTTAGCCACAGGTTACTGCCAAAAGTTTTAGAGATTTAGCGTTTCAGAGCGTAAACTTGCAGGTCGTAATTGCTCCTCATGAGCTGGTGCCTTGCCAACAATAAAATGGATAAAGGGCTTGAACTCAATGTGATGACAGGGTTTATTTTACGTACCCAAGTTAGGACAAAATTTGAAAAAATTTGCTATTAAGTGCAGGCCTTTCCTCACAGCAGAGATTTAGAAGAGCTTTCAATTTTTGTATGCGTATCTTGCCATACAAAAGGTTATTTATAAATGATATTTCTATGCATCCAACAGGCAAACCAACAGGATATGGGCCTAGTTCAAGGCGGTCGCACAACCGTGGCATCGTGGACGAATGCTGCTTTCAGAGCTGTGAGCTGAGGCGGCTCGAGATGTATTGTGCACCCGTAAAGCCTGGCAAAACTCCACGATCACTACGAGCGCAACGGCATATAGACAGCCCAAGGACAGCAAAGGTGTGCAGCCACGCTGCTGATGCCAGAACTAACCCTTTGCTAAGCTCCGCCCTCTTGGTTATTGCCATTAACACTGCAAAAAAAATCATTTATTTTTGTCTTTGTCTCGTTTTCCATGATATTATGATGCGTACCTCAGTCTCACCAAGATTTACGCAGATTAGCAAAAGAGAAAAAAAAAAAAAACACTTCATATATCCTTTCTAGGCTCCTTGTGTCAATATTATAAGTGCACCATGCAACAACGTTTACCATGTTTTTGAATACAATTTTGCTAAACACTTTACAAACACACAGGATTTCTTCCAGTTTGGGTTAAAAAAGGGGCAAAAATAGATGGTGGATGGTTGCTAAAGTATCTCTGGTCAGTCATGTTTTTAAGGTGGGGCTTAGTAAAGGGTCAGTTGACTGTTTGACAATTGTACATTTCTGTAAAATTTTGTGACAGATAATAATTTATGTATACATAATGGGGATCGCAGTATTAGTTGACTAATTTGATTGACAAATGTCGTATGAATTTTATTGATTGTGTTCCCCTGCAGAAACCTATATCTGGACAAAGCCATTCTTCCTGTAAGGTAAGTCTAACTTCATTCTGAGATTGAGCTGTAATGAACATGACAACTGACCGGCATATTTTTTTAAATTTCTCCTTTTGTGTTCCACTCAAGAAAGAAAGTCATACGGGCTTGAAACAAGTTAGTAAATGACGACAGAATTTTCATTTTTGGGTGAGCGGTCCATTTACTTCATCTCAGAGCCGAGCAAATAATACCGGTAGGGCTGCACAATTAATCGAATTTCTAATCGCAATTACAATCATGGATGCCACAATTACATAATCGTTCAAAGCGGCAATTAATCGTTCAAAGTCCACTTATGTTATTCTGCACGCTTAAGATATGTTTTTTTTTCTTTCTACATGTTATATTAAGGGTTTTTCCCATTGTTTTAGTTTTAGTATAACATTATAATACCATTCATATTTTTACTTTTTTTATAATTTAAAGAAGAAACCAATCCGATGTATATTTGATATTTTAGGCTTAATACTATAGAAAAGCACTAAAGTGTTTTCAGCTTGTTTATTTTCATATAAAAATATGGCATGCAGTTACATCAAGCAATGGTATAAACATCATTCAATGTAAATTGTGATAATCGTAATTAATAAATCGTAATTACAATTTCAAGGGAATAATCGACAATTATGATATTTGTCATAATCGTGCAGCCCTAAATACAGGTACATTGTGCTGCGATACATACCTAAGGAAAAAGCAGCTCTTCCCTCACCCCCACTGCCCAAATGTGGGCCATCCTTTTAAGTGCTCTGTCGTCCTCTCTCAAAAAAGAAAACCATTAGCAAGTGAACTGCCTAAGTGGTTTTTGTGGTAGACCTGCATGTGCTCTCCACAGGAATATTTCTGCACCCATACGTCATGCGCTGGAAGCCGAATATAAGGTCACCTTAGATGTCTGTACGCTGAGTTTAGAGTCTGGCCCCTCACACCGGCCTTTCTCCTCCACTCCTTGCATGCGGTTTCATTCCTAGCTTGTGAATTACACTTATTAATCTTGCTGTGGTGAAACCTTTGATGTGTTGTTTTGACAGTAGATTTCCTCAGCATTATGAAATAACACTCCGTTCACCAAACAGCTGTGTTGTTATGGGCAGCAACAGCCGTTCTGCTCTCGTTGGGTCGGCTTTCTGCGTTACTTCTCATCATCTGAACTGAAACTCACTACCTTTCTCTTTCTTATTTTCAGGAGGTTCATCAGAAGAACTCGAGCCGAGGAAACTCAGGGGGCAGAAACTATCGCATGTAGAGGACAGTAAGGCGAATGGCTGAGAGAGACAAGTGAAACTGTTGGACAGCGGGGAAACGGGATGAAAGAAAGACTGTATTCTTCCAGGGACGTGCTCCACTGTAAAAAAAAACAAACAAAAAAAAAAAACTAAATACTACAAAAATAAATAAATAAATAAAAACCAACAAGATACTGGATACTGTTAAAGCCCCATGTTAAGACAAACAAAATCTGATGATTTCCATACACTGCACCATTCCATACTGGGGGAAAAATCATAAATCAGCTGCTAAAAAAGTCAAATGATAACTGTTTATCCTCTTTGTGTGAACGGTTGCACCTAATGGATGCCGAAAGCTTTTTATAGTGGCAAAAAAACAAATTTTTGCGGGCACACGAGAGGCACGAGAAAGGAGTTCGCAGTGAGATCACGGACCGTGTTGACAAGAAAGGCTGTCTAGACAGTTTATACCAGATGGAACCCTTGCAAAACTGAACTACGGCTGCACAGAGAGATGACATATAAAATACAAATCAATCTTTTCTTATTTGATTCATTGTGCAAGACCAGATCAAAGGGGATTATACAAAAACATTATGCAGATATGCTGAGGTGCTCTAGAGAACACATTCAGGATCGATGGAACCGGACCTACATCCTGCAAAACACCCTTTTTTTTTTAAATTGTGTGAGGGATCTTTGCTTCTTTTTTTTAATAATTTTAACTGCATGGATTACCTTCTTTAGAAAATAGGAGGTGAAAGCCATTCACTCTAACAGTTATCCGCATGCATTTACACCAGTGTATCAGCATGCAAAGGAAAGACAACAGAAACTACAACAGAAGCAAAAAATTACTAGCAATTGTAACATATAACATCAAGAAGAACATAATCTGGTTTAGCAGCTACTGTTTATCAAATAGGAAGTTGCAGGTTTGCATCTTTACAGCGAAAGAATGGTGACAACTCACTAGCTGTATTAAAGGGATATTTCACCCAAAAATGAAAATGGTGTCATTTACTCATTTTACTTTACCTTCTCATGCGTTTGCTTAAAATATTACTTTTGTAGTCCATTTTTGATGCGCGTTTCTTCTGGGAAAAATAAAAAAGGCAATTGCAATGTTATTTTCCATAATACAACCTTACGGCTCATAAGTGATTATTTTAAACTTTATCACACAATTACCCTTTTTATTTTTTTCTCCGAAGCAGGCTTATGTAATTGCAGAGCACCAGTCATTTGGAATTATGTTTCAATTGCATTTAATTTTTGTCCTATTTGAAGCTTTACAGACATGGTCATTGTACAGCAAATACTGGAAACAAATTTCATTCTGAAAAAAGAATAATAACAGAATACAGATTAAAAATGACAGAAGGGTGCATAAACAACGACGCAATGTCTGTTTTTGGGTGAACTACCCCTCTACACCCCACTTTAAGCCACTGTCACAGGGGTTGTGAGGTGTGACCCTCTGCATGGTGATTTCCTCTTTTCTGACCCCAATGGATCACGTCCACCCACACTGTTTACTCTGTATCTATACTCAACCTATATTAACCTTTGCATTCTCTAACCATAATCATATGTGATGGCATTATATAGCGGAACCATATAAAAGATCAACCCACTGTATAATGGTGCTATTTTGTAGTTTGTTACTTGCAGGGGTTGGCTGAAAACATGAAGCTCATTGTTGGAAGTCTTCCCTTTTGCACAGCCTTGTGGCCACTATTGTAATAATATTCTTTTAGTTTTATTTTTAAGCTATTTCAATACGGTTACAGTGTAAGCGAGCAAAAGTATTTTTGTGAGAGCTGTGAATGCATAGAAAAAGGAACAAAAATGTGGCCCGAGATGGTTAATTGCTGTTTTTGTTTTCTCTACGGTTTTTAAATTATTATTTTTGAAACCGTAACCTCCCAATGCCAAATAACTTGACAGTACTGTAAACGGCAAATCTCCAATATTACCAAAACTTTGACCATCACAAAGTAGCTTTTCATGCATGCTACATTCATTTAGACATCTTAGCACTGAACTTAAGTATTTGTAACTGGCAAGGAAACGGTGCAAAACAGTCTTCAGTGTAATTCAGAGATGAGAAAGACAAAGTTACAGTTCAATTTCAGTTAGTAACAGTGTAATTTGGCTAACACTGTACGAGTCTATTCAGGACCATTGTTTTTCCTTTTTACTTGCCTATGTTTTTACTTATCGATGTGTCTAGGGAGGTTTAATAAGAAAATTGCACCAAGATTAAGTAAATTACACCATAAGTGCAATTAAGAAAGGTTATGTTTTAACTAGCAGCACCTTAACCATACGAAGAGAAAATCTATAAACAAGATGATACAGATGTTTAACAAATTTTGGACAACCTAAATTCAGGTCTTAGAGTGTTTGTACTTTTGAACTGGGCTGTATGCGTTTTATATAATCTTCTCAATCTGAATTAAGAAACAATAGAACAATGTAGAGTCATATGCAATAGCCACCCAGAATGTCTATATAATGTGCACAAGTTCGATGTAATAGATCTCCAGCAAAAGGTCCTCACATAATACCAAAGACTTTGAATATTTAAGGTACGTTGGTTATAGCTTTGTGGCAAATACCATGGGCAGCACTAAAGATACTTCTTGAATCTTCAATTAGACACATTAAGCAACACATTTTTACAAACATATTGTGCTTATTTTGAAGTTGTTCTGTTTCCCATTACATTGAATGTAGGATTTAAGGCTGCTGCAGAGTTTTGCGGCACTTCGCTTGAGTTTGATAGTTTTCATCAGAACATAAATCCAGAGACAGAAACAGTATGGTAGGACAAATGTTAAGAGGATTCTGGGCATTCTTTTGATTGTGAGGCTTTCATTAGGCTACTGGTGCTCAATTGCTTTCTGTATAAATATGAAAATACTGACAGATTGTTCACCGTTCCTGCTGAATAAACCACTTGTCAATATCTGAAGTCTCAAAGAATGATTATTACAAATACAGGAACTATACTTTTTAGTTACATAACAGCCATGAACCAAGATTTGCTGCTTGCTAGCCCGTTTCAGGGGGAGGGGCTTTTTGCTTATTGAGGGCATTTGATTGGACAAAAATCTGTTAGTGCAGGATGAGTCATCTATACGGGGAAGTCGTGGCCTAATGGTTAGAGAGTCGGACTCGTAACCCAAAAGGTTGCGGGTTCGAGTCTTGTACCAGCAGGGATTGTAGGTTGGGGGAGTGAATGTACAGCGCTCTCTCCCACCTTCAATACCACGACTGAGGTGCCCTTGAGCAAGGCACCGAACCCCCAACTGCTCCCCGGGCGCCGCAGCATAAAAATGGATGCCCACTGCTCCGGGTGTGTGTTCACGGTGTGTATGTGTTCACTGCTGTGTGTGTGCACTTTGGATGGGTTAAATGCAGAGCACTAATTCCTAGTATGGGTAACCATACTTGGCCACATGTCACGTCACTTATACTTTTAGTTTGTTTACCCAGAAGAAAAAGACTGTCAACTCAAAGCAAACACAAAGACTAAAATCCCCCAAACGCTCATTCTTTCAAGCAGAGAAGCAATGTTCCTGCCCCTTGCAAAGCACCTCGAAAACTAAAAGGTAATGAAAGTACAGCATTTGCCAAACTGTACATTAATGCACTAAATCTAAACCTGCACAGTCACCGCATGACAAAGTGATACTTCCTAAAATATGACATGTTCCGCCAAGACAAACAAATCAGGCTGTGGCTGTACTGACAAAAGAAGCTGCACATTCAGCTTTTTCTAAGTGACGGGACAAAGCTCTCATAATCTGTCAGCACTTTTTAATGGATATATTATAGTGGAACAATCAAGCCTTTTAATAGATAAATTGGCCACCTGGCTTAGTTTCAGCAGACATTTTTTTAAATGTGGAGCATGCGGCTGGCAGGCATTGTCTCTATGTTATTTGATTTTCATCCATTTTTTTTGGTAATACCAATCAATTATTATGCCCAATTAAATAAATTACAGACTGCAAATTATTCTGGATTCTCAGCAAAACCTGAGAAACCATTGAATAAACATTTTAAAGGGGTCATATGATGCAATTTCAAGTTTTCCTTTCTCTTTGGAGTGTTACAAGCTGTTCAGATTATTCAAACCTGACTTCAAGCTAACTTGGTCTGAACAAAAGATACAGTATATTACAAATGTCTGCTAACTACATATCAATTTATATAAAAGCACTTTTGTTAACAAGAAAGTTTATTCAGAAATGAAAATCATTTACTCACCATGTTGTTTTAAAGCCATTTGGGTTTCTTCTGATGAAGGAGTTGTTAGGCAGAATGTTCACACTGCTTTTTAAATATGTATTTTTTCTATAAGTATTTCAAAGCATTACAACAGGACTGCAAAAAAAAAAAAAAAAAAAGACTGAAATTTAAGTAATTATTCCCTAAAATGATCTTTCTCTTCTTTGCAACATTCAAATCTCATTTTTGTGTGATTTGAATATGCGCACATTAAAATTAGCCAAGACTAGTGTTGTTAATGTTAACTAAATTATTATAAATCATTTACGTTAATTGAAACCTGAAATGAAATTAAATAACAAATATTAGATGAAAAACTTGCTTTAAAAATAGAAATGTGGCCTTGGAAACTGACTGAAATAAAATAAGTTGAAGTTGAAGTACTAAAATGACTAAAAGTAAAATAAATTAAACAACAGAAATATCAAAATAAAAGCTAATCATTAGTATCAAACAAGGTCTGGCTGTAACTATAAAATGGCTTCACACCATAAAAACAGTCATTTGGACCACTGGTATGACGCTTTTTGACATTTTAGGAGCTTTAGGTCAACACTGTTCACTTTTTAGAAAAAAAAAAAAATCAGCATGAATATTCTTTTAAACATCTCATTTTGTGTTCCCTTAGGTACATATTTGGAACAAAATGACAGTTTTTTTGGGGGGGATGAAATGTTATTTTAATAAGGGTCACTATTACAAAACCTACTTTTTTGGTAAGTTGACAATGCACTTCCAAACCACACTCCACGAAAACACCCAGTGTACCTTCACTCCTATTAAATCTTACAATGTTCCAATGACATTTTATTCTATTATAACAACAGCAATGCACATTTCTCACACATACAACACGCCAGTACCACCATTCCATATGCCATCTAGCTAATGGTAACCAAGGACAGCTGTTTGAAGGCAGCAGCTTCCCATCTGCTGGTCAGTTTCAGAGGGATTCTAGCTAAAAAGCAAGCTTATGTTATTTTCCCCAGACTGGGCCTACAGTAGCTCTCTGAGTGCCGAGTGCATCCAAGGACACGGTTCCTGGAGCTAACCCTGAAACTGAAGCTTCAAGCCCATTCAACTTACGTGTGCTATTGTCTTCTCAATGACCTTGTGGTCTGATTCAGTTCTTTCTACCATTTCTCAAACATCCCCACAGTAGTTTCAGAAGAAAAATAATTCATGTAGGGCTGAAAAGCCATGTTTTCACTGCTAATGAATACAAGGCATCAGTTAGCCTGCTGAAACAGATGGTGCATAAAGATTTACAATAATAAATTAATTTATTCATAAGGGAGCAGCAACTATTTAAACACCATCTTGACAGGTTTTTTTCCCCCCTCGCTCTCTCTCTCTCTCTCTCTCTCTCTCTCTCTCTCTCTCACTCCCTTTTTTTTTTTGGACAGG